CTGGTGCAATCTTGGCTCACTGCAACCTCCACCCCCCGGGTTCAAGCAATTCTTCTGCCTCAGCCTCCTGAGTAGCGGGATTACAGGTGCCTGCCACTGTGCCCAGCTAATTTTTGTATTTTTAGTAGAGATGGAGTTTCACCATGTTGGCCAGGCTTGTCTTGAACTCCTGATCTCGTGATCCACCTGCCTCAGCCTCCCAAAGGGCTGGGATTACAGGCATGAGCCACTGTGCCCAGCCAAAGAAAATGTGGTACATGTATGCCATGGAATATTACGCAGCCATAAAAAAGAGCAAGATCATGTCTTTTGCAGGAACGTGGATGGAGCTGGAGGCCATTATCCTTAGCAAACTGACACAGGAATAGAAAATCCTCACTTATAAGTGGGAGCTAAATGGTGAGAACTCACGTACAGCTGGGGCCTACTTGAGGATGGAAGGAGGAGGGAGAAGAGCAGAAAAAATAACTACTGAGCACTAGGCTTAATACCTGGGTGATGAAATAATCTGTACAACAAACACCTGTGACACCAGTTTGCCTACATAACAAAACTTCACACGTACCCCAAACCTAAAATTAAAATTATAAAAAAGACATACAAGTGTCTTTCTTATAATTTTTCATTGCAACACTGTTCACAATAGCAAAGACATGGAATCAACCTAAATGCCCATCAGTGGTGGAAGGGATAAAGAAAATGTGGCACATATACACCATGGAGTATTATGCAGTCATAAAAAGGAACGAGATCATGTCCTTTGCAGAAACGTGGAAGGAGCTGGAGACCATTATCCTTAGCAAACTAACACAGGAACAGAAGACCAAACACTACACGTTCTCACTTACAAGTGGGAGCTAAATGATGAGAACACATGGACACATAGACGGCAACAACACACACTGGGACCCATGAGAGGGGGCAGGTGGGAGGAAGGAGAGGATCAGGAAAAATAACAAATGGGTTCTAGGCTTAACACCTGGGTGATGAAATAATCTGTATAAAAAGACCCCATAACGGCCAGGCATGGTGGCTCACGCTTGTAATCCCAGCACTTTGGGAGGCTGAGGCAGGCAGATCACCTGAGATAGGGAGTTTGAGACCAGCCTGACCAGCAAGGAGAAACCTCGTCTCTATTAAAAACACAATCTTAGCCGGGTGTGGTGGTGCACACCCAACTACTCGGGAGGTTGAGGCTGGAGAATCACTTGAACCCAGCAGGCAGAGGTTGTGGTGAGCCAAGTCATTGCACTCCAGCCTGGGCAACAAGAGTGAAACTGCATCTCAAAAAAAAAAAAAAAATAATAATAAGACCCCGTGACATGAGTGTACGTATATAACAAACCTGCATATATACCTCTGAACTTAAAGTACAAGTTTAAAAAAGTAATTACATTGCTTCTTTGCTGTTTTTTTGGTAGAGACATGCTCTTGATATATTGTGCAGGCTGGTCACAAGTGATCCTCCTGCCTCGGCCTCCCAAAGTGCTGGGATTACAGGTAAGCCACCATGCCCAACCTGGATGATCCTTTAAGACATGTGATTCATTTATTTGTATAAAATATGTACAGATCACATATCTTTCATATGCTTGTTTGAACGGTAAGAAATTGCCTTTTTGCAGGTTAAAAACAATAAAACATCAGCAATTTCAAATGGCTCGATGTAACATGTAATTCATAAGTGAATATATATTAAGGGCAGGCACACATTTTAAGTGTTTTATTTTTTTGAGACAGAGTCTCACGCTGTTGCCCAGGCTGGAGTGCAGTGGTATGATCATGGTTCACTGCAACCTTGAACTCCTAGGTTCAAGCATCTCCCACCTCAGCCTCCTGAGTTGCTGGGACTATAGGCACGCACCACTGCACCTGGCTAGCTTTTCAATTTTTTGTTGAGATGAGGGTCTCCCTCTGTTGCTCAGCGTAATCTCAAACTCCTGGGCTCAAGTGATCCTCCTGCCTCAGCCTCCCAAAGTGCTATGATTACAGGCGTGAGCTACTGTGCTCGGCAACATTTTTTAAATGAGAGGGATACATAATCAAAACCCTGGAGCTCTTAGGTTTGAGACTTTAATTCATGTAACTGCAACAACCAGAGAGCTAAGGGGCCCCCAAGCTCACTGTATCCTTGGTATAAAAAATGTCTGACCCACAGTATATGTGATTCCATTGCTAGCCACAGCTAAGGTGCCTTGTTTCGTATTTGCACTAAGCTAGCTAGGTTCTAAGTAATTTAGAATTAATGTAATGTAAAACTATCATACAACATATATTAATTTTTTTGAGACAAGGTCTCTTTCTGTCACCCAGGCTGAAGTGTAGTGGTGCCATTTCAGCTCACCGCATCCTCAACCGCCCCAGACTTAGCTGATCCTCCCACCTCAGCCTCCCAAATAGCTGAGACTACTGTCACATGTCTCCAGCCTGGCAAATTTTTTGTATTTTTAGTAGAGATAGGGTTTTACCATGTTGGCCAGGATGGTCTCGATCTCTTGACCTTGTGATCCGCTTGCCTCGGTCTCCCAAAGTGCTGGGATTACAGGCGTGAGCCACCGCGCCCAGCCTCATGCAGCATATTTTAAACTGTGGAGGTTGGTGCCGTCAGAATTTGGACTACGTTTGGTTTCTTCAGGATAAAGTCGTGATTGCACTAGGCTTTATTTGTCAATAAAACTGATTTACCAAGAAAATTAAACAAAGCCAGATGGGATTATTTAGTTTTTATCTCAAGCATCTCATGAAGGAGTAAAGATAAAGCTTCTAGTATTTTTCTGCAAAAACCCGGCAAAATTCAGGGTCATCTGAAATTTTCCCAGGTTTAATTGTTTTTAAGTCTGAAAAGGTGTACTTTAGACAAGTAAAAGAAACAATAAAATACAAGCTTTAATTTTTAAAAGAAAAAGTACCCAAATTTGTTCAAAAAACAAAAAAGTAAACATTTTAAAAGAAAAAAGGCACAGAAAAGAAAAACATAAAAAAGGGAATTTTTTTAAAAGACTAAAGCAATAAAAAAAAATTGATATTTGTTACCTTTAGACAAAGGAGAGGGAGAAGAGAATGTGACTTTTACTTTGCAATGTATACCTTTCTGTAGCGTTTGGATTGCTAAAAGTACTTCCATTCATTACTCCTACTTTTTAAAATACTGGGCCTAGTATGGTGGCTCATTCCTATAATTCCAGTGCCTTGGAGGCCTAGGTAAGAGGATCGCTTGAGGCCTGGAGTTTAAGAGTATCTTTAGCAATGTATCAAGAACCTGTCTCTATAAACAATTTTTTTTAATTCACTGGGCAGCTAGGCATGGTGGCTCATGCCTGTAATCCCAGCAGGCATAGGTGGACAGATGACCTAAGGTCAGGAGTTCAAGACCAGCCTGGCCAACGTGGTGAAACCCCATCTATCTCTACTAAAAATACAAAATTAGCCAGGAGTGATGGCAGGTGCCTGTAATCCCAGCTACTCGAGAGGCCAAGGCAGGAGAATCGCTTGAAGCTGTGAGCAGAGGTTGCAGTGAGCTGAGATTCTGCGATTGCACTCCAGCCTGGGCAACAAGAGCAAAACTCTGTCTTAAAAAAAAAAAAAAATCGCTGGGCATGGTGGCACACACCTGTAGTCCTAGCTACTACTAAGGCTGAGGTGGGAGGATTCCTCGAGCCCAGGAGTTCAAGGCTGCAGTGAGGTATTACTGAGAACTCCAGCCAGGGACAGAGCAAGACCCTGTGTCTAAAATTTTACAAAATAAAATAGAATACTAAAATAAAATAGAAATAGCTTATAATTTTAAAAGAATTATTTTTTAAAACCATGAAAAACAAAAAAACTTTAAAGCAGAAACTAACTCTTCAAAAAAAGTGATTATCAAACATGCTTTCAAAATATTTATTTCAAGTAGGAATTGATATAATGTACTATATATGGGAAGACACCACATGTAAGCTAAGCGAGTAAAAAACTTTCAGGAGTACACATTTGATCATCAAAATATTAAAAACCAAAATAATTTTACATATTTTAATTAAAAATACTGTCAATCTATTAAAATAACATGCCCCAAACAGTGACCAACTAAGAAGAGTGAAGGTCCTACTCAGCATAAATTCACACACACAGTCCTTACACAGGCATCACACACTTTTTTATCTAATTGCCTCCTAAAAATCCTTATATTTTTGTTGCTCTTGTGGGAATTATTGAGTGGGTTAAGAAAAAAGTTTTTAATAAATGCATTTTTCTTTTTGGCCAGGCTTGGTGGCTCATGCCTGTAATCCCAGCACGTTGGGAGGCTCAGGCGGGTGGATCACCGGAGGTCAGGAGTTCAAAACCAACCTGACCAACATGGTGAAACCGAATCTCTACTAAAAATACAAAAAGTTAGCCAGGCGTGGTGGTGCATGCGGTAATCACAGCTATGTGGGAGGCTGGCGCAGGAGAGTCGCTTGAACGCGAGACGCGGAAGTTGCAGTCAGCCGAGACTTCGCGTCTGCACTCCAGCCTGGGTGACAAGAGCAAAACTCTGTCACAAAACCAAACCAAACCATTTTTTTAAAAACGGTACTAAGCAACCGCATCTGCCCTTAGATGATAGATTAAAATTGGGGTTTAATATCGAAATCATGTTTACAAAGCAGAAATAGCTAAATAACGAGTCTCAGGTTAAGTAGGAGGTGGAGGGGTTGACTCAGAAGAATTGTCACCTGGTCAGCCAGTGACAATGCCGAAGGAGCTTGGAAAGTTGGCCCTACGAGATAACAACTCTTGTGGACACAGACCTTCTCTTTGTCCAGAATCCTTTCTCAAAGGTATGCGTGAGTGCACCAAAAACGAATCGCCAGGAGAAAGAAAAGTAAAAGCTGACTTTCTGCGGTGAGTGGTGTGCGGGGCCAGGGGGTCCGAGAAGCCCCCAGACTCTGTACACTCAGCAGGGATGCGCGGTGTCCTGGCTCGGGTGTCCCCAGGAGAATGTGGGGAGACAGGTCCCCCAGCAGGGCCCAGGAGACACGTCCCCCAGCAGGGCCCAGGAGACACGGGCAGATTCATCTGGATGAGGAGCACTCGCCGCCCCTTGAGGAGTCGCCGTGGGGAGCGGCCCTCCTCCCAGGGGTCACCCCCTCCTGAGGATCGCGGCCCTCAGTTGATGCCCTGGTCCCTGTCCTTTCCCCCTGGGCCTTTTTCCTGCAGACCTCCCGCCTCCTGGGGCGGAAGATGGAGGGGCGGGGGTCCTTCCTCCGACTCCTCAGCTTCCGAAGCGGACTCAGTGGCCTCATCGTTGTAGAAGTGAATGGTGGCTTGCACGGGGAAACTGGCCAGCACTTTCATCCCGGAACTCTGCAGGTATTCTTGACGCTTTGACATAGGTAAATAGAGTCTAATATTTAAGAAACAAATACGCCATTAATCAACCGGAACCCCGCCCTAAAACCCTTCCAGAGGATCTTTTTCCCAGAAGCAGAGAACTCCCCAGTCTTCCTCTCTCTGATCTTTGCCTTCACAACACACAGTATTTATTTTAAGTCACCAGAAACAGAGAACTGTAGATACCTAATGGAGGGACTTGGTGATAAGCCTTCCCCAGTTCAGAAGTGAGTTATAAATCTGATGGAGCCAGTCCGTTTAGACAGACGCAAGAAAAAGGGTGTGTTTCCAGGCAACTGAAAACAGTGAGTTCCAAGATTAGGAGGCTCACTCTGATTAAATAGGGGACTTGACTTCTTGCAGAATTGATTCCCAATTAGGTGAAGCCCCATTCTCCCACCCCACCCTCTGTTCCCTGCAGCACCGGAAATGCTGTAACCCTTTGGGTTCTGGAGGAAATTTACTCTAACATCTCTGAAACCCTGGTCTGGAGAAGCAGCTCATTTTTCCAGATGCTGCCGTAGAGAAACTGGAGGCATAAGCGCCTGGCTCTGCCTGAATGGAAAAGATGTGCTTAGGAAAAAAGGAAGTAAAGGAAAGAGAAAGAAAAACAAAGTGCTAGGTAACATTTGGAATCCCTAAAGTCCAGGTTTTATAGAATTTAGGATTTACTCATATGGTGAGTATTAAGCTATCCCTGCCCCATAACTCTTTTTTTTTTTTATTGAGAGGGAGTCACTCTCTCACATAGGATGGGGCACAGTGGCACAATCTCGGCTCACTGCAACTCCCGCCTCCTGAGTTCAAGTGATTCTCCTGCCTCAGCCTCCCGAGTAGCTGAGATTACAGGCGCATGCCATCACACCAGGCTAATTTTTGTATTTAGTAGAGACTTTGTTTTACCACGTTGGTCAGGCTGGTCTCAAACTGCTGACCTCAAATGATCCGCCCACCTTGGCCTCCCAAAGTACTGGGGTTACAGGCGTGAGCCACCACACCCAGCCACAATCTCTTATCATTTACTTCTTTTCTTTCTTTTTAGTTTTTGAGAAAGGGTCTCACTCTGCTACCCAGGCTGGAGTGCAGCTCACTGCAGCCTTGAACTCCTGGGCACAAGAATCTCCCACCTAAGCCTCCCAAGTAGCTGGGTCTGCTAATGCATGCCACCACGTCCAGCTAATTCTACATGTTTTTTGTAAAGGCAGGGTTTTGCCATATTGCCCAGGCTAGTCTGTAACTCCTTAGCTCAAGTGATCCTCCTGCCTCAGCCTCCCAAAGTGTGGGATTACAGGTGTGAGCCACCATGCCCCCAACCTGCTTTCCATTCATTCGTTTGCATTTTTCTCTGTAGTCTTCTGAGGAAGTGAGTTTGTCAATTGATCACTGCTTATTTGCAAAGCTGATTTCAATATCCTTTTTTTCAGGTAGAAGAGAAAAGGGTGAGAGAAAACACCCTTCTATAAATAATCAACAATAGTTTTTTCTTCATAAGATATTCAATAGACCAGTGGTTCTCGACTTCCAGGGCACATTTGGAAATGTCTGGAGACATTTTTTGTTGTCACAACTGAGGAGAAGCTACTGACGTTTAGTGAGTAGGGGCCAGGAATACTGGTAAACACCCTGCAAGGCCCAGGATAGCTCCCACTGTGAAGAATTATCCAGCCCAAAATGCCAATAGTGCTGACATGGAGAAATTCTGAAATAGACAGAATGTGTATGTTCATCTCCGACAGAAATATAAGCAGAGTTCCATTTCTAGCCATGTTTACAATTAGGCATTTATGCTGAAATATTCACAGGTGAATTCCTAGGATGTCTGAGATTTACGTTGAAATATGCTGGGGTGGGCACAGTGGTGCATATCTGTAATCTTAGTACTTTGGAAGGCAGAAGCAGGAGGATCACTTGAGCCCAGGAGTTTGAGACCAGCCTGAACAACATGGCGATACCTGGTATCTGAAAAATAAAAAAAAAAAAAAAAAAAAAAAAAATGCTGGGTCTGGTGGTGTGTGCCTGTAGTCCCAGCTACTCAGAGGCTGAGATGGGAGGCTGGGGAGATGGAGACTGCAGTGAGCTGAGATGACATGACTGCATTCCGGCCTAGGCCACAGAGGAAGACCCTGTCTCAAAATAAATAAACGAATAAATAAAATATGCTAACAACAACACGGTTACGGGTGATAAATAGGATCAGCTCAGAACGTTGATAACTATTGAGGCCAGTGACAGGTACATGGGGCTCACTGTACCATTGGCTCTACTTTTGTGTATGCCTGAAATTTTCTGTAGTAAAAATATAAAGTGAAATTGTATATCCAGTGTGCAATGCATGGCTGCAGCTCATGCTTCGTCAGTCACAGCATTTTCTTTCTTTTTTTTTTTTTTTTGAGACAGTCTCACTGTGTTGCCAGGCTGGAGTGCAGTGGCTCGATCTCAGCTCATTGCAGCCTCTGCCTCCTGGGTTCAAGCGATTCTCCTGCCTCAGCCTTCTGAGTAGCTGGGATTACAGGCACACACTGCCATGCCCAGCTAATTTTTGTATTTTAAGTAGAGATTGGGTTTCACCATGTTGGCCAAGATGGTCTCAAACTCCTGACCTCATGATCTGCCTACCTCAGCCTCTTAAAGTACTAAGATTACAGGCGTGAGCCACAGCACCCGGCAGTCACAGCGTTTTCACCCTATCAAAAACAGGGTAGCTGAGCACGGCGGTTCACGCCTCTAATCCCAGCACTTTGGGAGACCAAGGCAGGTGGATCACCTGAGGTCAGGAGTTCAAGACCAGCCTGGCCAACATGGTGAGACCCCATCTCTGCTAAAAATACAAAAATTAGCTGGGTATGGCGGCGCCTGTAGTCCCAGCTACTCTGGAGGCTGAGGCAGGAGAATCGCTTGAATCTGGGAGGCAGAAGTTGCAGTGGCCAAGATTGCACCATTGCAGTCCAGCCTGGGTGACACAGCAAGACTCCATGTCAAAAACATAACACAACAACAACAACAAAAAAAAAACAAAATGGGGCAGTAGCAGGGTGTCTGTGAGGCCGGTGTGGGTAGGTGGCGAGACTGGACGCCTGTAGGGCATGAATCAGGGTGGTGCCTCTCAACCCTGGCTGCACGCTAAGATCTCGTGGGGAGCCGGGCGCTGTGGCTCACGCCTGTAATCCCAGCTCTTAGGGAGGCAGAGGCGGGAGGATAGCTTGAGCCCAGGAGTTCAAGACCTGCCTGGGCAATAAAGCAAGACCTCGTTCTCCACAAAAAGGAAAAAAATAAAAAGACAAAAAAAAAAAAGATCCCCTGGGGAGCCTGTAAAAATACAGGCCAGGCATAGTGGCTCACACCTGTAATCCCAGCACTTTGGGAGGCCAAGGCGGGTGGATCACCTGAGGTCAGGAGTTTGAGACCAGACTGGCCAACATGGTGAGACCCCATCTCTACTAAAAATACAAAAATATTAGCTGGGCATGGCAGCCCGCATCTTTAATTCCAGCTACTTGGGAAATTGAGGCAGGAGAATCGATTGAACCTGGGAGGTGGAGTTGCAGTTGGGCCGAGATTTCGCCACTGCCCTCCAGCCTGAGTGACAGAGAGAAACACCCTCGTGGAGGGATGTGAAACAAAAAAAAGGAAGGAAGGAAAGAAAGAAAAGAAAAAATGCAGATGCCTGGGTCTTTCCCTAGAGCAAGTGAATCAGAGCACCTGGAGAACCACCCAGGCATCTGAATTTTTTTTTTTTTTTTTGAGCCAGAGTCTTACTCTGTCACTCAGGCTGGAGTGCAGTGGCACAATCTCAGTTCACTACAGCCCTCCAGGTTCAAGCAATTCTCCTACCTCAGCCTCCCGAGTAGCTGGGATTACAGGCATGCACCATCACACTCAGCTAATTTTTGTATTTTTAGTAGAGATGGGGTTTCACCTGTTGGCCAGGCTGGTCTTGAACTCCTGACTTTATGATCCGCCCACTTCAGCCTCCCAAAGTGCTGGGATTATAGGCGTGAGCCACCGCAACCGGCTGGCATCTGAATGTTTAAAAGCTCCACTAGTAATTCTATGAGGATTGAAAACCACTGGTGTGGCCGGTAGCGGTGGCTCATGCTTGTATTCCCTCCCACTTTGGGAGGCCGAGGCAAGAGGATAGTTTTAGCCCAGGAGTTTAAGACCAGTCTGGGCAATATAGTGAGACCTTGTCTCTACAAAAAGATTACAAAATTAGCAGAGCATGGTGGCACATACCTGTGGTTCCAGCCACTTCGGAGGGTGAAGTGGGAGGATCATTTAAGCCCAGGAGGCAGAGGCTGCAGTGAGGTGAGACTGTGCCACTGCACTCCAGCCTGGGTGACGGAGCGAGACGACATCTTTGAAGAGAAAATAAAACTATTGGTATAAGGAATACAAGGTAAGCTTCCTCCTAACCAGTCTGAGGGGCCTGAACTTCATGCCTACACATGAGTGCCTGTGGGTTGTGTTAAGCTTTCCAGCCTTCTAGAGTAACCAGGGAAAAGACACCTGAGGAGTGGAGGCGGCCCAGGCTTGCCTAATTTTGGTAAAGGAGATCGAGAGCAACAGATAGAATAAGAGAGACAGAGACAGAGAGGCAGGCAAAAGTCCTGGACAGAGCTACTTGCCTAAAACGGACGGCGTGTAGGTGGATACAGCAGTGAGAATCCTGGTCACCACCAGGACCATGACACACACCTGAGAGGCTGGGGGAAAAGGCTCCCTCAAAGGTGCTCGGCACCCACTGTGCTGGAAACAACCATTTACTCAACACATAGATTTTCTTGTTGTTGTTGTTGAGGCGGAGTCTCCCCCGTGGCCCAGTCTGGAGTACAATGGAGCAATCTAGGCTCACTGCAATCTCCACCTCCTGGGTTCAAGCGATTCTCCTGCCTCAGCCTCCCGAACAGCTGGGATTACAGGCACTCGCCACGACACCAGGCTAATTTATTGTATTTTTAGTAGAGACAGTGTTTCACCATGTTGGCCAGGTTGGTCTCAAACTCCTGACCTTGTGATCCACCCACCTCAGCCTCTCAAAATGCTAGGATTACAGGTGTGAGCTATCGTGCCTGGTCGTTTTTTTGTTTGTTTGTTTTTGTTTTTGTTTTTGAGACAGAGTCTTGACAGAGTCTTGCTCTGTCGTCAGGTTGGAGTGCAGTGACATGATCTCAGCTCACTGCAACCTCTGCCTCCTGGGTTGCAGAGATTCTCCTGCCTCAGCCTCCCGAGTAGCTGGGACTAAGTTTAGCGCACCACCATGCCCAGCTAATTTTTTGTATTTTAGTAGAGACGGGGTTTTACCATGCTGGCTAGGATGGTCTTGATCTCCTGACTTTGTGATCCATCCACCTCAGCCTTCCAAACTGCTGAGATTACAAGCATGAACCACCACACCCACCATTTTTTTGTTTGTTTGTTTGTTTGAGACTGAGTACCACTCTTGTCACCCAGGCTGGAGTATAATGGCATGATCTCGGCTCACTGCAACCTCTACCTTCCAGGTTCAAGCAAATCTCCTGCCTCAGCCTCCCAAGTAGCTGGAATGACAAGGGGCCTGCCACCACGACCACCTAATTTTTTTGTATTTTTAGTAGAGACGGGGTTTCACCATGTTGGCCAGGCTGTCTCGAACTCCTGACCTCAGGTGACCCACCCACCTCAGCCTCCCAAAGTTTTGGGATTACAGGCATAAGTGACCATGCCCGCCCCCAACACATAGATTTTGAAGGTCGACTTTGCACTAGACAATATGCTAGCTTATATCCTGGAAGAATAATAGAAATGCACCTCGATATCTAAGTTTGAATATATGCATATACAATTCATGTGCAATTATATACATATAACACAAGGCATAATATATAATGAGAGGTAGAAATAAAAGATATCAAGAAAAGAGAGAGGCCAATTGTACTTTGCAGAAAACACTGATGAATGAATACATGAATGGATTCTGGAAATCCAGCAAAACACCCTCAGTAAAAGGAAACTGAACAATACCAAAGGATGCATTGAATTACTTTCCACTTCGTTGGAAATCTATGTGCTTGAAGACACTGAAGCGTATTAATGCTTGTATTAAAAGGAAATTACTGATTACTTATTGTGAAGTCATATATTACCTTACAGGATGCTGAAACCCAAAGGCTCCCTTTGATCCAAAAGCATGTTGGTCAGCCCTAGCTGCAAGCTGTAACGACAGACACATACAAACACAGTGCAGGAGCATCGGAAGGTGACATCCTGAGGTTTTAAACCATAGAACCTAGGTCATCTGCAATTGTTCATATCAATAGCAACTTTAGAGAGTTTAGACACCTTAGCAGTATTTCACAAGCCTGTTCCTGTCACTGTGGCCCAAAACGTCCCAGTCGCTGTGAAGAATTCAGATGGAAGGAGTCAGATGCAGTGCCTCCGTCCAGCATTTTACAGGCTCATGGACAGAGACACACATGTATGCAAACAACCATGCTACCAAGCACTGCACGGTGAGATGCCCATGATTCTAAGTGTGACAGAAGGTCAGGAGCGGGTTCATGGAGGGCCTCACAGAGACATCTGCAGCATGTGGGTTTGCAATTCTAAGACTATTTTGGTAGAGGAGAGCATCCAATTCAGAGCGGCAGGACCAGGCGCGGTGGCGCATGTCTGTAATGCCAGCACCAAGGCGGGTGGATCACCTGAGGTTGGGAGTTTGAGACCAGCCTGACAAACATGGTGAAACCCCCTCTCTACTAAAAATACGAAAATTAGCTGGGCGTGGACATGATGGCGCATGCCTGTAATCCCAGCTACTCAGGAGGCTGAGGTACAAGAATCACTTGAACCTGGGAAGCAGAGGTTGCAGTGAGCCAAGATCCCGCCACTACACTCCAGCCTGGGCAACACGCTCCATCTCAAAAAAAAAAAAAAAAAAAAAAATCAGAGTGGCAGGAAAACAGGGCACGGGTGGGGAGCAGTGAGGAGCCTGATATGGGAAACACTGCCATGGGTAAAGGGCTCAAATGGCATCAGCTGCCTTGAATACCCACTTTGAGTTTAGGTTTGACTCTGGATACAGGAACTGGAGATGGATTTTTGAGTCAGGGAGTCCAACAATCAGATCTGTATTCCAAGGAGAACAGTGGCCATAGGGAGCCATGCACAGACAAGGCTGGCGTAGAAAGGGCTTGGAGGAACCAGTCTTGACAAGACAATAAAGAGCTTCTGGATGTGGGAAGGATGTGAACTCAGGCTGGGCGTGATGGCTCATGCCTGTAATCCCAGCACTGGGGAAGGCCCAGGTGGACAGATCACTTGAGGTCAAGAGTTATAGATTAGCCTGGCCGATATGGTGAAACCCCATCTCTACTAAAAATACAAAATTAGCCAGGTGTGGTGGTGCGCACCTTTAATCCCAGCTACTTGGGAGGCTGAGGCAGGAGAATCGCATAAACCTGGGAGGCAGAGCTTGCACCACTGCACTCCAAGCTGAGCAACAGAGCAAGACTTGGTCTCAAAAAAAAAAAAAAAAAAAAAAAAAAAAGGAAGTGAACTCAAGAACCAGCAATGGGAAGAGAAAGAAAGGAAAGGCAGACTCCAAGTACCCTTCAGTCGCATCCAGAAGCTCTGTGACCGCTGGAGCAGCAAGAGCCAGGAAGGGCAGCTGGTCTGAGCACCAGGCAACCAAGGACACCACGAAAGACAGCAACACAGCAGAGAGCTAGGCTTTTCCATGCCCACTGCTGAGCAGTGAGGGACAATCACACTCTACCTATCCAAGGTGGGTCCTGTTCTGCCCAAACTCCTGAGAGTGCTGGATCTGAAAGGACTGGGCTTGAAATATAGCCAGGTTATCCAAGGGGCTGAAACGTCATAAGTCATCATGTGCTCTCAGGGCTCTGTAAGCTTAGTTACTGTGGTAAGTGGGGGCATGGGGCATTCTGGGATAAACCATCCTGGGATGACTTGAAAATGAGCTGAAATGGGCTGGGCGTGGTGGCTCACACCAGTGATCCCAGCACTTTGGGAGGCCAAGGTGGGCAGATCACCTGAGGTCGGGAGTTCAAGACCAGCCTGACCAACATGGAGAAAACCCGTCTCTACTAAAAAACACAAAATTAGCCGGGTGTAGTGATTCACTCTTGTTGCCCAGGCTGGAGTGTAACAGTGCAATCTCAGCTCACTGCAACCTCTGCCTCCCAGGTTTAATCGGTTCTCCTGCCTCAGCCTCCCAAATAGCTGAGATTACAAGCGTGTGCCACCATGCTCGGGTAATTTTTGTATTTTTAGTAGAGACAGGGTTTCACCATATTGATCAGGCTGGTCTCTAACTCCTGACCTCAGGTGATCCGCCTGCCTTCACCTCCCAAGGTGCCAGTAATTACAGGTGTGAGCCACTGCACCCGGTCTGGTGTAAAACTTTTAAAGCTGTATATGTTTGTGGGTAAAGTGTTGAAAGCAGATAAAGGTGTGCTGAATGTTTCCCAGGGTCCAGTTAGAACTGGATGATTTGCAGAAGCTATTCTTTCTCTGACATCTGCCACTGCTAAATTAGGCCCTGTCCCATCACGGGACCTCAAACAGCCATTAGCAGGGCAGGACTGCTTGTGGCCATAAAGTGAGCCTGGGCAATTAGAAGTGTTTTATAATTACGAACAGAGCTTAAGAAAGAAGCAGCTTAGGCCGGGCGCGGTGGCTCAAGCCTGTAATCCCAGCACTTTGGGAGGCCGAGGTGGGTGGATCACAAGGTCAAGAGATCAAGACCATCCTGGTCAACATGGTGAAACCCCGTCTCTACTAAAACTACAAAAAATTAGCTGGGCATGGTGGCGCGTGCCTGTAGTCCCAGCTACTCAGGAGGCTGAGGCAGGAGAATTGCCTGAACCCAGGAGGCGGAGGTTGCGGTGAGCCGAGATCGCGCCATTGCACTCCAGCCTGGGCAACAAGAGTGAAACTCCGTCTCAAAAAAAAAAAAAAAAAAGAAAAAAAAAAAGAAAGAAGCAGCTTCCTGTAGCTCTCAAAGAGTGAACAACTTCATGGAAAAGATTTTGTTCCAAAAGCTTCATCACTGCCTTAGCTCAACACAGTGAATTATAAAAATATGGCTGATAAAATGTAGCATCTGCAGAGGCTCCTTACAGGCTAATTTGCTCATGAATGTCATGTGCACATCCCTTGGCCCCAGTGTCCCTGAAGGATGGAATGATGTGGAGATTGATGGTGTTAAAGTCCTTCCTTGTCACGCCATAGCAAGTTTTGCCCCGTTCCTTGTCTGGTTTCAATTGAATTCTGGAATCTGAGGGTTCAGGGTTTCTGGTGTACTGTCCCAGACCATTTCAGCTCATGTTTATTTATTTATTTTTGAGACAGAGTCTCACTCTGTCACCAGGCTAGAGTGCAGTGCCGCGATCTCAGCTCATTGCAACCTCCGCCTCCTAGGTTCAAGCGATTCTCCTGCCTCAGCCTCCCAGGTAGCTGGAACTACATGATGGCAGGCGCCATCATGCCCAGCTAATTATTTTTTGTATTTTTAGTAGAGATGGCGTTTCACCATGTTGGCCAGGATGGTCTCGATCTCTCTCTCTCTTTTCTTTTTGAGACAGAGTTTTGCTCTCCCAGGCTGTACTGCAATGGCACGATCTTGGCTCACTGCAACCTCCACCTCCTGGGTTCAAGTGATTCTCCTGCCTCAGTCTCCCAAGTAGCTGGGATTACATCTGAGGTCAGGAGTTCAATGTTTTCCAGGAAACTGCCTCCCTGGCAATGCCCAAAAGTGACAAGGATGGAAACACAACAGAGACCAAGAAAGGTCAGGTAGGGGAGGGAGATCGCCCCCTAGGGTGGTAGGGGCATCAAGCGGGCGAGGGTGACCCTGCTGCTCAGAGCACAGGGCCTTGCCTTCCCTTTGAGGGTTTTTTGTTTGTTTTTTGGGACAGGGTCTTATTCTGTTGCCAGGTTGGAATGCAATGTCCCAATCTCAGCTCACTGCAAACTCTGCCTCCTGGGTTCAAGCGATCCTTCCGTCTCAGCCTCCCAAGTAGCAGGGATTACTGGCGCATGCCACCACCGCCCGGCTAACTTTTGTATTTTTAATAGAGACGGGATTTCACCCTGTTGGTCAGGCTGACATTGAACTCCTGACCTCAGATGATCTTCCTTCCCCCGCCTTGGCCTCCCAAAATTCTGGGATTACAGGCATGAGCCACGCGCCCAGCCTACTTGAGGTTTTAGTCTAGTTTTGCTCTCCTTGCCGGGAGCCCTGGTACAGGTCACCAGGCCTTAGCCCTCCTCACCCCAACTCCAGTCAGTGGCATTTTTGAGAAATACAGAATAGGGTTTGGGAGCTGGGGAATTCTCCTGCTTGTCATGGGAGGGAGCTGTTGAACAAGAAGCGTTCCTTCCCCGTGCTGGGCTGCGCTGTCACTGGGCTGCAGAGGATCGAGCGCGATGCAGGGTACCAGAGCACGGACTAGCGCTGGCCGCTATGCGCGACAAGCTGGACCCCGCAAAGAGCAGGTCCCGGGCTGGGGGTGGGGCGTGGCGGGCTCTACAGCCACCAGGGAACACCCACTCTCCCCACACCCACATCCATGGACAGAATTACTTCAGCGTGCCAGCCTCCCAATCAGTAGGAAAGTTACTAAAGTTTAACATTTTTTCTGCAAGTAAATTTTTCTTATAAATGGACTTATAACAGAAAACAAAACCCCAAACCACCTGTCTTACTTAGGAAGCATGCCATCGCATTTTTATTCTTGCAAACAACTGATAGGTTCCACATCCATTTCACTGAAAAGAAAACTGGGTAATTGTAAACATCTATATTCTCATACAAGCACCTTTAAAATTTATGTTTAAGAACTAAGTGTAAATAAGAAAGAAGAGATTATTTTATTTTTTCTTTTTCCTCGAACCACATGGAAGGGAAATAAGGGATTATTTTACATTATTTAGATATTATATGTATAAAAAATTGGGGACTGAAAATCGTATCTTTTGTTAACTGATTTATATTTTTAGCTGCTTCCTTCTTTGAAGTAAATTAAAATTCCTAATATTCAGATTAATTTAATGAAGTCGTCTAAATATCAAAATGTGGTGAAGGCCTGTTTTCCCACACGAGTTTTCTTACCATATTACAAATAACTGCACTTTCAGCCATATAACACGTGTTATGTAAATTAAATATATCGTCTTTCCCAGCCTAATTCTTCAGTGTTTCAAGAGTCATCAAGAAAATAAATAAAAGTCATCAATTTATGTTTTAAAATATAACAAAGGAAAGGTAAATTCTATAAAAGCAAGTCATGACATCAGTAAGTATAAAGCAATTGAGTTAGCAATGCAGAGTAACAAAAGAATGTTCCTGGCAATTAATCTCGCCCACAAAGCCCTCACCTTGAGTGTATTTGCTCAGACAACATGAGTTACCCCAGGAGTGCTTGACGGGCTGAAAGTGCTTCAGAAAGGGCCAGACGCTGGGTGGGGGCTTTTAACTGCACCTCTGGGCACCTCAGATGGGGCTGGCCCTATTTGCTCTGTGGCACCGGGCAAACGCTAATGGTGCTCTCAGCTCTCAGCTTTTCTCTAAGGCAAGGGACAGTGGCAGCCTTCTCTCCTCCCCTCCCGACCTGTAACCCCAACACGCAGAACCACCCTTATAACTCCCACGAATCGACTATGACTTTGTTGTTGTTGTTGTTGTTTTGTGTGTGTTTGTGTGTGTGTGTGTGTGTGTGTGTGAGACAGAGTTTCACTCTTGTTACCCGGGCTGGAGTGCAATGGCGCGATCTCCGCTTACCGCATCCTCCACCTCTTGGGTTCATGCGATTCTCCTGCCTCAGCTTCCCAAGTAGCTGGGAGTACAGGCACGCACCATCATGCCCGGCTAATTTTTTGTATTTTTAGTAGAGACGGGGTTTCGCTATGTTGGCCAGGCTGGTCACGAACTCCTGACCTCAGATGCTCTACCCGCCTTGGCCTCCCAAAGTGCTAAGATTACAGGCCTGAGCCACCGCACCGCCTACGACTATGCTTTTGTAGTGGGTTTGTTTTTTTTTTCAGAAAGGAGAAGCCACCAGAAGCCCAATCTATAATGAGACTCAGGTGTAATTAACAGCCTACTCATTAAGATTCCAGCTCCCAGACCCCGAGGCGCTCCTGGGTTAGATGCCCAAGGTAGAGCCCTGCCAGGAGGCCTTTCACGGTCTCTTTATTTTAAAAGACGGTGCCACTTTCTGGCTGGACGGATTGCCTACAGCGCCCGCGCTGAACCTTACCCGGCTTTCCGTTCTGGTCAGTTCATCATCTTCAGGTGCCTGGATCCAAGGTCGCCACAGCTCGGGGCTGGAACGGCAAGCGCCAGGAGAGAGTGAACCCTGGGCACTCTGCTGCCTTCAAACTAGGTCATGAGAGTTATTCTTTTTTCCAGTGCCTACCTGAAAAAGATACCGGACCCCCCAGGAACTTCCCCTCGAGTTATCAGGGGTGTGGATAAATTACTGTCATTTGTGTTTTTTTTCTCGCCTGCTACGTCCCCAGTTCTCTGCTTCCAGTTAAGCTTTGAGAAGGGAGGTCCTGAATCTCACACAATTATCTGAGAACCCATTAGTTGAGAGATTTCTCTCCCTGCAAATCGTGGCTGCATTCTTCAATTCGGGGTTCCCCAACTGTAGCCAGCTATTTGTCGTTAATTTCAATCACGCCACCTCAGCCACTGAAGGATCTTGATTCTACTGCAGAGATGATTTTATAGAGTTCTAGGATGAAAAAACAAAAAAGACGGCTGGGCGCAGTGGCTCACGCCTGTAATCCCAGCACTTTGGGAGGCCGAGGCAGGTGGATCAGTTGAGGTCAGGAGTTCTGGACCAGCCCTGACCAACGTGGCGAAACCTCGTCTCTACTAAAAATACAAAAATTAGCCGGGCGTGGTGGCAGGCTCCTGTAATCCCAGCTACTCGGGAAGCTGAGGCAGGAGAATCGCTTGAACTCAGGAGGCCGAGATCGGGCCACTGTACTCCAGCCTGGGCCACAGAGTGAGACTCTGTCTCAAAAAAAAAAAAAAAAAAAAAAAAAAAAAAGAGAGAGAGAGAGAGAGGGAGACGGAAAAGAAAAGAGGGAATCTTTCTCCTGACTGGCTACCTGGCCCACCCGGCCCACCTGCTCCCTTTCCTACCTCCCCGGCTAATTTGATTTCCTTCAACCTTACTGTCTTTAAAAGGGCAGGTGCCCAGGGACAGCGAACACTGAGCCCCCCAATGCAGGGACAACAAAAACGGCTCCCGAGAAAGTGGCAATGTGAGAGACTCCCTTTGCAAGGCCGGCTCCGGAACACGAGACTTCGGTGTCCTCGGCCGGCAGGCGAACTGAAATCTCCTCTACTCGGAAGCGTCGGTCCTTTACTGGCCGGGTACCTCCTGGGCCCCTGCACTTCAGAGCTATGCGCTGGCACCGGGAGAACTGAGCGCCCCTCCCGGGAACCAGGCTGCGGCTCTGGAGCTTGCTCGGCGTCGCCGTCGAGCTCCGGAGCTCCGCCGGGACTCGGGGGCTGAGCGGCGCCCCAGCCTCCCGCTGGCTGCGCTCCCCGCACTGCCACCGCGCGCGCCTCTCCGTGCGTCCACCTGGGCGCGGGGCCACCCTCACCTCTCCGGAACGCGCTGTGGCGGAGGCCTCCGGGGACCGTCCCCGGGGCAGTGACAGACGCGCCCCCGCGCCTCCCGGTCTCCGGCCGCCGCCTTGGGCTCCATTTGGTGCCAGCGGAGCCCCCGCCCCCTGCTGCGGCGCCGGCCTTGGTGCGCGCCTGGATCGGCTCTGGCGAGCGCGCCAGCCTACCCGCCCGCCAGGTTTAAAAACGGGGGCGGGGCGGGGCGGCGCAGGAAACTGAGGGGAGGGGGCAGGACCCAAGGAGCTCCGGGAGCGCTGCGGAGGGGCGGCTGGGTGTGGAGGGAAAGCCCGGGGCGGAGGAGCGGAGGAGACCAGTGAAGTTCCAGGAGGGGACCAGGGAGCTGGGGATGGGCAGGAGACGAGAAAATCTCGAGGAGGGGGCCCGAGTGTCAAGGAGGGGAGTCCGGTAGGCCCGGGCAGGGGTGGGGACTGGACAAAGAAAAGCCAGGGAGGGGGCACCAGGGAAGGGGCGACCAGAGGAGGGAGGCACCGGGGGCTGGAGCCGCCAGCTCGGGCTCGAGAGCGCGGGAAGTGACCCTGGATGCCGGGAGAGGAAAGCGAGGCCCGAGGGGCGAGGGGCGCGGGGCGTTTTCGTCCGGCGCTCTCCCTCCGGGACTTGGGAGACCCGTGATCACCCACTGGGCCTCCCCTGACGGATGTGGGATGTTGAGGAGTCCTGGCTTCTCCGTCCCTCTGTGGTCCCCCTTGGCCTGGAGCTTTGGTCTTGCGCGAGCATCGGGTTCCCTGGGTTTCTGGAAAATATCGCTTCCACCGCCTTAGAGGGGCGGCAGGGTTTGGGGAACATCTGTCTAATCCTCCGACCTGCGTGGACCAGCCCTGCCTTCGTTTCTGGTCAGGCGCCCCGACGCCAGGGCTCGAACCCTAGGCGAAGCGGGTGGAGTGGGACTCGGCGATGCTTCCAGGCGACGGAAGGCCAGGGAGGGGACTGAGCAAGAGGAGTACTATGAGCGCACCCTTCCCATCGATGGTGGCCTTAGAAAGAATGCCGGTTTTTAATCAAGCCAGGAGCGGCGGGCTTCTCCTTCAGTTAGCCCCAGCCAGGGTTAGAAACCGCCTCCCGAGCGGCAGGAGCGACCTTGCCCGACCCTGGGGACACTTCCCCGGGCGAGCCTGAGCCGCGGAAGTCGCTGGAGCGCCGCTGCCACCGTCACCAGCGCTCGGCCAGGGTGGGAGGAAAGTGGTTTCATGTGTAGTGCACTGCAACAGAACACCGAAGGCGCTGGAGGGCCGCGGGCCTGGACTCGCAGGGGTAGTTACTTTATATAATTTAAATTACCGTGATGGATGTTAAAAAATCGAAGAACTTCAGGAATTAAAGTGTTTTCACATTTTTAAAAAGATCTGAATAACAATAATGAAATCTAATTAAAGACAAACACTTAAGAGGGGGAATTAATGGGAGATGGCTAGAAGGAGGCAAAGAACAGTAACGGGCCACGTTGCAACGATAAGATACCAGATTTGATCTACCAATGCAGAACGCGGTTTTAAAAGCACATAGGGCCCGCCTCCACCTCCTAAAGTGCTGAGATTACAGGTGTGAGCTACCATGCCTAGCCAAAACTTTTTTATTTTTATTTTTTACAATTGCGGTAAAATATACATAACATAGAATGTAGCATCTTTAGCATTCGAAGTGCAGGGATGAGCTGCATTCCGTAGGTCAATGCCGCGGGGCTTCCATCACCACCATCTACCCAGGGAACCCTTCATCTTGCACAGACGAAGCTCTTCAACAGTAACTCCCCACTTTCCCCTTTGCCAGGCCCTGGCAGCCACCATTTTTTCTGTCCTCATGTGTTTGGCTATTACAGGTACCTCATATAAGTGGAATCCATGAGTATTTGCCTTTCTTGGCTGATTTATTTCACTCAGCATAATGGCCAGAAGGTTCATCCATATTGTAGTGCAGGTCAGGATTGCTTTTCTTTTTCAGGCTGAATAACGCTCCCTTGCGTGTGGAGACCACGTTTTCTTTATCCATTCATCATCAGTAGATAGACACATGAGTTGCTTCCACCTTCCGGCTGTTGTGAATAAAGCATTATGAGCACTATTCCTTCAAGCATCTGCTGTCAGTTCTCTTGGATGTATTCTCAGAAATAGAATTGTTAGATGAAATATATCTGTTTTTTAATCCTTATATTAAGGCCTGACCTTGCTTTTGAAAAAAAAAAAAAAAAAGTTAATTAGCTGGGCATGGTGGAGCACACCTGTAGTCCCAGCTACTTGGGAGGCTGAAGCAGGAGAATCATTTGAACCTGAGAGGCAGAGGTTGCAGTGAGCTGAGATCATGCCACTGCACTCCAGCCTGGTGACAGAGCGAGACTTCATCTAAAATAAATAAATAAAATAAAATAAGTTAAACATGAAATTTGTATCCAAGGAGTGAAGGGAGATTGGAGATGTTTTGTAAAGAAGCTTTTCTGACTGAGTGTGGTGACTCACACCTGTAATTCCAGCACTGTGGGAGGCCAAGACAGGTGGATCACCTGAGATCAGGAGTTTGAGACCAAACTGGCCAATATGGTGAAACCCCATCTCTACTAAAAATACAACAATTAGCTGGGCATAGTGGTGGGCACTTGTAATCCCAGCTACTTGGGAGGCTGAGGCAGGGGAATCACTTGAACCCAGGAGGCGGAGGTTGCAGTGAGCCAAGACTGCGCCATTGCACTCCAGCCTGGGTGACAAGAGTGAAACTCCATCTCAGAGAAGAAGAAGCTTTTCTGCACAACTGCAGACATCCCTAGCTTAACCATGCCATGACTGATGTCTGGAAGCTGGAACCATCTACAGCCCTGCCTTTAATTCCCTTACACCACTCCCCGTGGATCCCCTGGCCTCTGGACACTTTCTGGCCTGGGAGCCTCCCACATACATTCACGTCTCAGGGCCTGTGCCTGCAAAACTTTCTTCCAGACGTCTGCATGACCTGTCCCCTCAGCTCCTTCAGGTCTGACTCAGATCTCCTCTGGGAATGACGCCTCCTCCGGACACCTGTGTAAAGCCTTTCTCTCGTGCACACTCACGAAGACATGTGCACCTTGGCATTCTCTGTCCTCCTTCCCTGCTTCAGTTTTCTCCATTACATTTGACATAACTGTATTTTTCATATCGATACCTATCACCCTAACACATTTAACACACTATGTGTTTTCTTTTCTTTTCTTTTTCTTTCTTTCTTTCTTTTTTTTTTTTTTTTTTGAGACAGGGTCTCACTCTTTCACCCAGGCTGGAATGCAGTGGTGCAATCAGGGCTCACTGCAGCCTCAACCTCCTGGGCTCAAGTAATCCTCCTGCCTCAGCCTCCCAAGCAACTGGGACTACAGGTGTGCATGACCACACCTGGCTATTTTTGTATTTTTAGTAGAGACAGCATTTCATCATGTTGCCCAGGCTGCTCTCAAACTCCTGGCTTCAAGTAATCCACCCACCTCGGCCTCCCAGTGCTGGGATTACAGGTGTCAGCCACCATACCAAGCCCATAGTTGCACCTAGACTGGTGCCTGAGTTTGTTGTATAATGAGATTCACTCTTCTAGTTGTGTCTACAGGAAAACAGAAGGCACTCCTATTCATTACATATCGCCTGGGCATATACAGTGCCATGTGGGGGAAAAAAAAAACGGACAAAGCAAATCAGGGAAGACAGAACTGCAGATCTCAGAGCTAGAGAACTTCAACCTCATTCCCGGTTCATCTCTTCATTTTGCAGACAAGATAGTGGAAGCTCAGGCGGGGACGTGGGGACGTGACTACTGCACCAATAATAGCTAATATGGTAACTATAACCTTAACATTTATTGAGCATGTACAGTGTGCCAGGGACTGTGGTTTATGGCACTGTGATTTATGACTCACTGCAACCTTGACCTCCAGGGCTCAAGTGATCCTCCCACTTGTGGTTTATGGATATGAATTTACTCAGTCCTGACAATAAGCATGTAAGGGAGACAGTAGGTTATCCATACTTTTCAGGTGAGGAAACCAAGTCATGGAGAAGCTCAATCATTACTTCAAAGTCACCTAGAAGATCAGGGGTGTGATGTGAACCCAACCAGCCTTGCTGCAGAGTCTTAGCAAGTGTGATCCATAGAAGACCAGACTCGCTCTGTGAGCTGTCAGGATTGATCTCGCATCACAGGCACACTGGCTCTGGGGGAAAGGTAGGCAAGTTAAATTGTAGATGGCCGACCAACCTGTTAGTAAGCTGACTAGCAGAGGCCATGGAGAAGGTGGCAAACACATGGTTAAAAAGGCATTCTACCGGCTGGGCCCAGTGGCTCTTGCTTGTAATCCCAGCACTTTGGGAGGCCGAGGTGGGCAGATAACAAGGTCAGGAGTTCGAGACCAGCCTGGCCAACATGGTGCAACCCTGTCTCTATTAAAATACAAAAAATTAGCTGGGCGTGGTGGCACGTGCCTGTTGTCTCAGCTACTCAGGAGGTTGAGGCAGGGAATTACTTGAACCTGGGAGGTGGAGGTTGCAGTGAGCTGAGGTTATGCCACTGCACTCCAGTTTGGGTGACAGAGTGAGACTCCGTCTCGGCAAAAAAAAAAAAAAAAAAAAGGCATCTTACATCATCCCTCAATCCCTCCTTACTCTTCATCATAGAGAATGGGCTGTGAGCAAGACCTGGAACTCATTTTTTCTTTTCTTTTCTTTTTTTTTTTAAAGACAGGGTCTTGCTCTGTCACCCAGGCTAGAGTGCAGTGATGTGATCATGGCTTATTGCAGCCTCCACCTCCTGGGCTCAAGCGATCCTCCCACCTCAGCCTCCCAAGTAGCTGAGACTACAGGTATGTTCCACCATGCCTACTTTTGAAATTTTCTGTAGAGATGGAATCTCACTATGTTGCCTGAGCTGGTCTCAAACTCCCGGACTCAAGTGATCCTCCCATCTCAGCCTCCCAAAGTGCTGGAATTACAGGCATAAGCCACCATGCTCCCAGCCTGGAACTCCTTTTGACTAATCCTGAATGAAAATTATTCAGTCTGTGAGTCACATTGAAACTCAGCTTCTCTTCTGGTGAGTTGGAATTCAGACCCATCCAGTTTCCTCTGTCTCTCTGGGTTCTTACAGTGTTGAAAGAAAAACACTATCTGTAGTGTTTGCCTGTGTATCTTTGGCTACGGGGCTAGAGAAGCATGAAAAATGTGAGGAGGAAAAAGCAGTGGTATCCTGGGCATCTATGGCTCCTAGAAATGCACGGGAATTTGAAATAAAGATGAGTAAGTATGCCTAACCCACTGCCCATTTTCTCTCAGTAAATGACTTTCTTGGTTCTTTTTCTTACTTTTTTTTTTTTTTTTTAAAGACAGGGTTTCACCATGTTGACCAGGCTGGTCTTGAACTCCTGACCTCAGGTGATCTGCCTGCCTTGGCCTCCCAAAGTGCTGAGATTACAGGCGTGAGCCACCATGCCTGGCATAACTTTCTTTGTTTCTAGCCATGGCCTATTTCACCCTTGGCTGTGTACTGATAGAACAATGTTCAGTACATAATAGACAATAAGTGCATTTTATTTTCTTTTATTTTTTGAGGCAGAGTCTTGCTCTGTTGCCCAGACTGGAGTGCAGTGGAGTAATCTCAGCTCACTACAACCTCTGCCTCCTGGGTTCAAGCAATTCCCATGCCTCAGCCTCTCGAATAGCTGGGATTACAGGTGTGCATCACCACACTTGGATAATTTTTGTAATTTTTGTAGAGACGGGGGTTTACCATGTTGCCCAGGCTGGTCTCGAATTCCTGACCTAAAGAGAGCCACCCACCTTGGCTTCCCAAAGTGCTGGGATTACAGGTTTGAGCCACATCACCTGGCCAATAAACGCCTATTAAATAAAAAAAAATTGCATTATTATTATTATGTGAAGAAGTCTTGTTCTGTCGCCCAGGCTGGAGTGCAGCGGCACGATCTGGGCTCACTGCAACCTCTGCCTCCCTGGTTCAAGCTATTCTCCTGCCTCTGGTTCCTGAGTAGCTGGAATTACAGGTGTGCACCACCACGCCCAGCTAATTTTTGTATTTTTAGTAGAGACAGGGTTTCACTATGTTGACTAGGCTGGTCTTCAACTCCTGACCTCAAGTGATCTACCTACCTTGACCTCCCGAAGTGCTGGGATTACGGGTGTGTCACCACATCTGGCCAGCTGGTCTTTTTTTGGTGTGTAGATTTTTCTTGAAAACCTGTCTCCAGTTCACTGACACCATTGGTCCGTGCCCCTTCATTTCACACCTGAATAGGGCCACAGCCTTCCCATTTGGGTCTCTCCTCCTTCTGATCTAGACTACACCCTCCCTTCAGATGATTATTCCTAATGCTACATCCTGGTTCAAAACATCCAGTGATTCCCAGATCAACTCTTAACCTCTTACCTTAGCATTCTAGGATTACCATAGTTGCTTGTTAATCAATAAATCCAATGTTTCCCTCACTAAAGAAAATCTGCTGTCTAGACAATTCCTTACTTTTAAGTTCATTTTATTAGTAGATCATGTGTTAATATGGTTCAAAAATAGAACAGCATAAAAATGATATTGTTCCCTTCCCTATTCCTTTTGCTTCCTGTTCCCACCCATTCCATTCCCCCATGTCCCCTCACTCTTTTTTTTTCTGAGATGGAGTCTCTCTCTTTCGCCAGACTGGAGTGCAGTAGCGAAATCTCGGCTCACTGCAAACTCTGCCTCCTGGGTTCAAGCGATTCTCCTGCCTCAGCCTCCGGAGTAGCTGGGACGACAGGCGAGTGCCACCACACCCAACTAATTTTTGTATTTTTAGTAAAGACGGGGTTTCAGCATGTTGGCCAGGATGGTGTGGTTCTCTTGACTTTGTGATCCTCCTGCCTCAGCCTCCCAAAGTTCTGGGATTACAGGTGTGAGCCACCTAGCCCAGTCATTCCCTCACTCTTAAAAGCTTCTTGTGCATACTTTAGGGTCTTTTATGCAAATATAGGCAAATACAGTTATATTTCCTTTTTCTTTTTGTATAGATGGGGGTCTTGTTGCCAAGGCTGGATTAGAACTCTTGGGCTCAGGTGATCCTCCTGCCTTGGACTCCCAAGCAGTTGAGACTATAGGAACATGATACCTGGCTAAATACAGTTATGTTACTTTTTTTTTTTTTTTTTTTGAGACGTTGTTTTGTTCTTGTTGCCCATGCTAGAATGCAGTGGCACAATTTCAGCTCACTGCAACCTTCACCTCCTGGGTTCAAGTGATCCTCCTGTCTCAGCCTCCAGAGTAGCTGGGATTACAGGCATGTATCACCATACCTGGCTAATTTTTGTGTTTTTAGTAGAGAAGGGGTTTCACCATGCTGGTCTCGAACTCCTGACCTCAGGTGATCTGCCTGCCTTGGCCTCCCAAAGTGCTGGCATTACAGGCGTGAGCCACTGCACCTGCCGAAATACAGTTATATTATTTTCTTATCAGCCTCCCTGCATTTTACACAAAAGGGAGCTTACTATATTCCAGATATTTCTATTTCTCTATTAGTATACAAAGAGCTCCCTTATTCTTTTTTTTTTCTTGCTTCCTTACAATTTTTATTTTTATTTTTTTGAACAATGTTTGAGTTTCATTCACACGAAACACGGAAGTCATCTGTGAGGCTCTGTCCCATAGAGAAGGGTCCTTTCTTCATGTCTGTTGCTGGAATGTAAATAAACACAAATAGAAATCAAACAAACTGCAAATTACTCTGTCTTTTCCTAATCCATACAGCAGTGGTCCTCAGTGGTAATGCACCAATCTGGAAAAAACGCCTTCGGGCTGCTCCTTTCCATCCCCCAAGGCCGCAGCAAATCCTTCCTGTCGCTTCCTATCGGCCAAGGCAGCCAACGATTTAAAAGTCTTTGGTTCGTAGACGCCCAGATCCGCTAGGACGTTCCTCGTTGAACTCTACCTGTCACTTAATTAAATTGCCAATGTACGCCGGATACGTCAGGCCGTGTTCCTGGGTAGCACCTGCAATTCGATTAATCCAGAAGGTCCTCATGATCCTCTTCCTCGGGTTTCGGACTTCGGGGCTTTGGTGCATTTCACAAAGGCTGGAGTCACGGCTCTGACCGCCAATCGCAGCAGCGCTTTTTCCTCCCCCGGAAGTGCTTGGCGCGCTTCTGCACCTCTCGAATCGCCGGGAGCGGTCGGTGTCGCGATGTGACTCGATTCCACAGCCAGAGCTGCGCAGTCAGGACCCTTAGGCCCGCGGGCCGGCGTCCCGGATCCGCAGCAAGCACGCGCTGCGCCGCGGCAGCTGGCCCGGAGCCGCTTCCTCCCGGTCTTCCAGAGCACGCAGCACAAATACCTACGGTACTTGCCTTCCATACTTACTGGGTATGTAGGTGGTTTCCAACCTCTGTCATTGCAAACAATGCCTCAGTGAATAACCCTGTACACACACACCATTTTGCGCACAGACGACGGTATCTGCAGGGCAAGTTCCCCGAAGGTGTGTTAAAGTTTTTTTCTTTCTTTCCTTTTGTTTTTTTGAGAGGGAGTCTCTCTGTCGCCAGGCTGGGGTGCAGTGGTGCGATCTCAGCTCACTGCAACCTCTGCCTCCTGGGTTCAAGCAATTCTCTGCCTCAGCCTCCCAAGTAGCTGAGATTGATTGCAGGCACCCACCACCACGCCCAGCTATTTTAAAAAAAATTTTTATTTTTAGTAGAGAAGGGGGTTTCACCATCTTAGCCAGGCTGGTCTTCAATTCCTGACCTCGTGATCCACCCATCTCAGCTTCCCCAAGTGCTGGGATAACAGGTGTGAGCCACCGCACCCGGCCGCTCTGCTGGAGTTTGTCACCACTGTGCTAGGTCCCTTTTGCTTTGGTACCACCTATGGGCCTACGCCTCCTTCCCATATGCCTCCCTTGGTCTCTTGGAGAGATTTAGTCGACAGGACAGTTGAATAACTGATATATTGTATGTATAACTCACAGGATGTGACAAACACAGCTTTATCTTCTACCCTCTCTAAAAATGTATCCAGTAGAGAGTATCTTCATTTGTGCCCTTCACCCTCCTCTCACTCCGCCCCCCCCCCCCCCGCCCCCACACACACATTGAAAACTCTAATAAGGCTGAATTAGACTCCCAGGGCCTTGCAACAAAGTATCACAAACAGGATGGCTTCAAAATAACAGAACTTTGTCTCCCAATTCTGGAGCCTACAAGTTCAAAATCAAGGTGGCAGCAGGGACGTGCTCCCTCTGAAACCTGTGGGGGGTCCTTCCTTGCGTCTTCTTTGCTTTGGTGGTTTGCAGCATCGGTCCAGCCTCTGCTGTTGATGTCACATGGCATTCTCCCTGTGTCTCTGTCGCCATATGTCCATTTGATTATAAAAACGCCAGGCATATTAGATGAGCGTCACCTCATCTCAACTAATTATATCTGCAACGAACTGTTTCCAAAGTAGATCATATTCTCAGGTACGGGAGTGGTTAGGACTTTAACATAGCCTTTTTAGGGGGATACAATGGAACTCATAACACAGACTCAAAACTTTTCTGCTCATGTTAGGCTGAGGACAATCTTAGGGTCACTTTTTATTTATTTATTTGTTTGTTTGTTTGTTTTGAGACAGAGTCTTGCTCCATTGCCCAGGCTGGAGTGCAGTGGTGAGATCTCGGCTCACTGCAATCTCTGGCTCCCGGGCTCAAGTGATTCTCCTGTCTCAGCCTCCTAAGTAGCTGGGATTACGGGCACAAGCCAACATGCCCAACTAACTTTTGCATTTTTAGTAGAGACAGAGTTGTGCTGTGTTGGCCAGGCTAGTCTCAAACTCCTGAGCTCAGGTGATCTGCCTGCCTCGGCCTCCCAAAGGGCTGGGATTACAGGTGTGAGTCGCTGTACCTGGCCAAGGTCACTTTAAATCACAAACTTGTTCTCAATTCAGAAACTAGTATGCCCAGTCCTAGATATTTATCTGTTCTTCAAGCTCATTCCAAGGCTGTGCTTAGGGCAGGAGCTGCCTGTCTGCAGGAGGGGGAGTGGTTTAAGGTTTCCCAACCCTCTGCAGACCCCTTTGGTGCCAGGGGACGGGGAGTGGGGGTGGGAGAAGGATGGGAATGATCTGACCTGGCTGGGGAGCCTGCTGTGGCTATCCCTTTCTTCTCACTAGGAATTTTGGGATTTCTCTGGAAATTTCCACTCTGGATCTCCTAATTCCTGTGAATATCACTCAATTTACACACTTTCTCCATCTGCTGTTTAAAGAAGGTGGATCCTCAAAATTGAAGGGCTTTTAAAACTTTGTAATTGTTTTTCCTTTTTTTTTTCCAGAGAGTCTCACTATGTTGCTTAGGCTGGTCTTCAACTCCTGGGCTCTAGCTATCCTCCCACCACAGCCTCCCAAATAACTGACTATAGAAGAGTATCACCACATCTGGCTTATTTCTAGTTTACTTGTTTATTTATTTGTGATTATTTTCTTTTCTGAGACAGGGTCTTGCCCTGTTGCCCAGGCAGGAGTGCAGTGGCGTCATCTTGGCTCACTGCAGCCTTGACCTCCTAGGCTGGAGAGATCCTCCCCGCTCAGCCTCTTGAGTAGCTGGGACTACAGGCGCACGCTGCCATGCCTGGCTCCATATATATATATATAAATTTGTATTTTTGTTTTTAAAGAGATGGGGTCTCTCTGTGTTACCTAGGCTGGTCTTGAACTCCTGGGCCCAAGTGATCCTCCCAGCTTGGCCTCCCAAAGTGCTGGGATTACAGGTATGTCCACAGCACTCAGCCTTCATTTTTTTTTTTTAAGCATTATTTTTAGAAGAGTTACAGATTTACAGAAAATTTGCAAGATAGTGCAGGGAGTTCCAAAACCAGTTTCCTATATTCGTTTCTTACATTAGTATGGCACATTTATTAACAATTAATAAACCAACATTTGTACATTATATTTATATTATTGGTACATTATTTAAATTTCCTCCGTTTTCTCCCAATGTCCTTTTTCTGTTCCAGGATCCCATCTAGCACACCACTTATATTTAACCATCATGTCTCCTTAGGTGCCTCTCGGCTGGGACAGTTCGTCACACACTCCTCGGTTTTGGTAACCTTGTCAGCCTCCGTAACAAGCAGAGAGAGGTTCTCTAAAAGCAAGTGATATTTATTTGGGAACAGAGTTTTGCAATGGGACCATGTGGACCATATTAAGCTATGTGTGTATTCAGGAAGGTAAAGGAAGACCAAGGTTTTTATTTTTATTTTTATTTTAAAAGATGGGGTTTCACCATGATGGCCAGGCTGGTCTTGAACTCCTGACCTCAGGTGATCCACCCACCTCAGCCTCCCAAAGTGCTAGGATTACAGGGGTGAGCCGCCGCGCCCAGGCAAGACCAAGGTTTTCAAAGGAAAAATGAGGGGGAGCGCCCAGCCCCCGACCCCGGCCCGCCCCGCCCCTCCTGCGCTGCATACGGTTTTTGATAATCAACCTCAGCTACAAGTATAAGATAAGGGAGATAGCAGTCTGAGGTTGGTCAGGCAATTTCTGGGCAGAAGTCTTGGCAGGAGTCTTTTTTTTGGAAAGGCTGACATGGCCTTTGTGCAAGGTTTTGGTCTTTTGTGAGCATTTGTGATATCAGGCATTCATGAACAAGAACTCTTTAGCGCTATTTGTCAGGTTTTTGTTTTTTCCTCTCTCTCTTTTAACACAAATGACTCCGCCATTTTGATTCTGACAACATTCGCAACCTTGACAGATTTTAGGTTGGTTAGCTATTTTGTACAACGTCCCTCTACTGGGATTTGGCTGATGTTTTTCTCACGATTAGACAGGGCTATTGGTTTAGGGAGTTTGGTATAAAAAAATCTGTTTGGTCTTTGTCCCTAGTTCCTGACACGGAACTCCTAAGCCCCTTGGAATTTCCTAGGCAATAGGAGTGTTTTGTTATTCATAATGAGTCCCTTAATCAAATCAGAGTTTATGCTAATGAGGCTCTAGGATGGATTCAGGGTGGGGCTAGTGCCCCACCACGTGATCAGAGGGTTGTAACTTTCAGCCCTAACGTGTCCTTACTCCCCTTGCGCGAAGGGAAAGGGGCGGGAGGTGGAATTCAATCACTAATGGCCAATGACATAATGAAACCTGGATAAGAACCCCTTAAACAGTGCGGAGAGCTTCCAGGCAGGTGGGCACACAGCGGTGCTGGGCGGGCAGCACTCCCGCCCTTCATGCCCGCGTGCTGCGCATCTCTTCCACTTGGCTGTTCCCGAGTTGCGTCCTTTACAATAATCTGGTAACAATAAGTAAAGTGACCCCCTGAGTTCATGTTGTCCCAGGGAATTGCTGAACCTCAGGGGAGCTGTGGCAATCCCCCAGTTTCTAGTGGGCAGGGTAGAAACACGGGCATTCTGGGCACCCCGCTTGTGGCTGGCGAAGGGAGGAGGGGAGTCTCTCTGGGCTAATCCCTTAACCAGTAGGTTGGCGCTAACTCAGGTGGTGTCAGAGAACTGGGGAATAGGTCGTCGATGCTGGAAAGGGCGACGCGGTGTTTGGCGGGGTTCAGGGAGGAAGGCGCGGAGGGAAGGTGGGGCCTGCCTTCCGCGGAGCAGGGTGAGGTTCGGCCCTGGAAGGCCGCAGGAGTGGGCCAGGTTGGAGCGAGCCCGCGCGGCGAGGAGGCGGCAGAGGCGCGCCTCCCAGGCAGCGTGGGCGAGGCCGAGCGGCAGGAGCTGGCTTAGCGGCGAATGGCCTGCATCCCGGAGCGCGCCGCACCTCGGCCAGGGCAGGAGGACGCCGGGCGGCCCCGCGGCCCTGCGCATTGAGCCCGGCTGCATCGCGGGGCCGGCCGCGAGGGGGCGCTGCGCGGCACGGCGGGGAGTCTCGGGCGACCACCTGGCGCAGGAGCTGCCGCGTCTGGGCCTCAGAAGTAAGTCGGGGCGCTGCGAGCCGGGGAGGGGGGTGGGCGCTCGCCGGGGGAGTGCTGGGGCCGGGAGAGGGTCGGGCGGTCCACGCCGGGCCGCTGCCGGGGAACAGCATTGTGCTCGGTCGGGGCCGCTAGGCTGAGGCCAGCACGGCCGGAAAGCCAGCCTCAGCAGCCAGAAGAGGGCGGGGCTTCCGGTGGGGCAGCCACAGGGACCTCGCGGCCCTGGGCAGCACCGCCTCCTCGCGCCACTGGCGTTCCTCCCTGCAGGACCTGGGCTGGCTCGGCCTGCCTGTCAGCGCGCACGCGCGGCCGGCGCGGCCTACTCGCCTGGGCTCGGGAGACCTGTTCCCATCTCACGGGCTCCCGGGCCGCGCGTCCCACGCTCGTGTTAGCGGCAGAGCCGCAGAGCCTACCCGTCGCTAGAAAGCACGGGTGACTTCCCCTAGGACCTAGTGTGGGGAAAGG